CAATCATACATTTTTGATGCACAGACCACTAAGTGTAATAATGAATACTAAAGTCTGATGGGAAGAATCTGAACTAGAAAATATACATAACTTTTATATAGCATTTCTATATGTCAACAACAATAAATTTTACATCAATATTTTATTTCAAGTAATATTATTTAATTTAATTGTTTTGTTTGCAAAGATTAGGAATCAACAAATTTTTCTGTAAAGAACCAAATTAGATACTCCATACATTAGGTTTTGCAGGTTAAAATGCAAAATTGAGAATATTATGTAGATATATGCACCACAAGAGAGATTTTTTTTGGTAATTTTATAGAGGAAATTGAACACATTATAATTGAGTGTAATTAGGGAATTATTTTAATAAGATTTCATTTACTCAGAGTTTAAAAACAATGTTCCCCATTACAAATTATGATAAATGTTTATCTGTTGGTGCTGATGTAAATGAGATTTTACAGAGTTCATCTTTGAAAAAATTTTTTTTCAGATACAGAAGTGCCACACACTGTTATCAAAGTACTAACATATGATTTTAATTGCAGATATTTATCCCATAGATGGCATTGATAAAATTCTATATTTTCTTGTTATTTTTACTATGTATTGTAATTATTTCCAATTTAAAAATGAGATGACAGTGTTTCAATTGTAAAGTTAAATGATTTATGAAATATAGACATTTCCTTTGTCTTTACATTAAGATGAGAAAAAATGCTTTTAAAGCTGTAGCTTGGTCTTGCAAATCACATATGCTCAAAATATTTGTGGGAAGAGAAAACTTATTTTAACTTTTGATAGCACAGAAATGAATAAAATAAGTTTACATTATACCAATGATTCATATAACACTGTCTAAATGATTTATTACAGTATAACTTTTATAAGCACTATTTTGCCTTGAAATTACAGGTTGAATTTATTAGAAACATTATCAAATTCATAGCTAAAGTTAATTTTTAAAGACATTTAGTAGCTGCTAATAGAGGCCAACTGCAAGTTATTTTTTACAAAGAAAAATATTTTGGTCTCATTCTTCAGCTCAAAAAACTCAAAGAAGTTTTATTGATCTTGACCTGTCCAACTGCTGTATAGTAGGATAAGTTCAGGATATTCAGCTTCAAAATCTGACCAGAAACAAATGAATAAACAGACTAACAAACAAACAGTATCTATGAAATATCTTCTAGAGTGAATGAAGTTTACCAGTGACAATGCTAACACATGGTAGCAAAACATTTTAGGCAAAATAGCAGACAATGAGTAGCAAAACGAATGCATATGGTCATAAAACACCTTGTATTTTTACAAGCTTTTAAAATTTTTCAAATTAGCCTTTTTGCACTCTCTACAGTTTTCCAGCATCAATTGAAACACATCTTAACAAATTCTACATCAGTTTGTTCTAAATTAGTTTTCTCAACTTCTTTGAAATATTGTTACCTATACTTGTTCCAAGCGTGCTGTTCATAGATGATTCTTGTCACTTCATACTGAAGGAGGACTCAAGTAAACAACTGAGCACCTGTCAATTCATCTGGGAGTACTAGACATCACTTCTCTTGTCCGCAGTTGGTTATTGTTTCTATTCTCAATGCCTTTAAATCAAAGTAACTGTTTTTGTAGAAAGGAGAATTGTCTTTATAAGGCAAATATGTAAAATCCATCTTTAGCTCTCTGGCAAAAAAAAAAAGAAAAGGAAAGTAAAGTAAAAAAAGACACAGGCTAGATTTGACCCCTGGCAAAAGTTTGTTGACATTTGTACTAGATGAGATGATTCAGAGAGATGTATAATTCTGCATAAAGGGGACTTTAGATAAAATAATTTAAAGTATGGACACACATATAGAAGCACTCATATACTTATGTAGTATGTATACATGACATGTAAAATGGCATGACAATAAAATAGTGCATATTAAATTTGTTGCAATTTTCTTGTTTTATGCTGTATTCCAGTTCCAGTAAACTAGGATACACATGAAAATACAGACATGAAACCACTCTTAATGGGACAGAAGTATGTGCTGAAGCTAGGTCACACCAGCTAACTACAGTCAACTGATAAAATTACCTTGAGTCAAATATTAAATTACATACACGGGTATGTAATATATTTGTTAAATAAATTCTACTTAGAAAGATAATACTATGCAGCATTCACATCTTCTTAATTTTCATGCTACATTTTGCTCTTTTCTGTGTTCTTGAGATTATGCCTACTGTTTCTTCGTGGTGGAAATAATATACAAAATGTGTATTTGCAAATCACTTTCCAAATCTGTATTCAATGACTACACATTTGTAGTTCAAAATTGGCTATAATGGATATTTATATGCTGAAATAGGTAAATGCTACAAAGTAGGACTTGATTTATAGTCTTGCTGGATGTCTAAATTTAAAAATTTAATGAGTAAATGCACAGTAGGTGTAAATGTGTGTTGGGTCCGTAGATTACTTTGTGGATAGTTTGCATAATCCTGGCTGTTTCTCTGTCAGGCTTTGGACTTAAATAAAGGATTCTGGGAGACTAATTGGAAGTCTTCCTGGAACTGGCCTTTTTATGTCACACCTAGCACTCAGTGGCACTGGGACTCCCTAAATATCAGTGTAACAGGAAGTGGTAACTAAAAGTGCAGCCTCCAAGAGTGAGCTGAAACGCCGCAGGATGGGCTGTCTGACACGAGGTGCTCAGGCCTTCAGAGAGAATTTTCACCCTCTCCTGGCATTAAGGACTGTCATCTCTAACCCCCCCCCCCCCCCCCGCCCCCGGGGAGGCCCGATGGAGCTTGCCAAGGCTTGGGAGAGGGTGGGGAGTGAAGTACCAAGGGAAGCGCGATTCCTTGAAGGCCTCTGTCTCACCGTCCGCGTATTCCTTGCCCAGGGAGTTGCTGCTCTGCTGTCCCTGGAGAGGACGAGTGAGGAAGCATGGAACCCTTGAGATCAAACATTTCCTTCAATTATGCACCCTGTCCCTTTTCGAGAGCACAGTCCCTTTCTAGGGGCGCTTGGAGGGCCAGAGCTGGAACGTGGTCGGGCAGGGGACACCTCAGCCAGGACCTGGGCTGGAGACCCAGGGGCTCGGATGGTGGGCGCGGATCACACAGGTACTCCCAAGCCAGGGCTCAGCGGCTCTCAGAGCCCTTTTTTCTCATCCAGCGGAACGGTGGATTCATCTAATTCCTCCACTGGGTCCTCCAGCAGGGCTCAAGCCGCTTTCTTCCAAGGACTTGCGTGGGGATCTCAGCCCCGAGATTCTATGGGGCGACCACCAGGGAAGTGGAGCCCTCTTGTGCGGTGCCGCCTCAGGTTGGGACGGAGGTATGGGCGCCTCGGAGGATGGTGGGCATGAGACACTTCCAACACCTGCGCTGTGGCTTCCCCTCCAACCCCAGGGGTCAGCTCTTGCTCCTTCCTCATCGCTCTATTCCCAGGCTTTTTCTTTTATTTTCTCAGTCGAACAGCCTACCATGATCTTCCTTTAAAGGACTCTCCTTAAGAAGCAGCCTGTCACTTATGTTTTCTTAGCATTATAATGCATGACATATTCACCATTAAATTAGTCCAAAATGTCTTTTATGTTAATATTTAGGTTCAGGATCATAGGCTTGTCTTAAGGGTACGAAAGTGAAAAGCAGTACAACATCCCTGGATAATAATTCAATAAAAGATGAAAGAAACTTAAAAAAATACTCTTGGATTTGTCTCTTCTTTTTCTAAGATTTTCCAAAAAAATGTGAAATTCTGATGATCTATAAAGATCTTCATCACAATATTATTTACAAAAGAATAAATAAAGATAATTTAGCCAGCAAGAGACTGGTTAAATAAATTGTGATACATCTATCTTATGGGACAAAAGTTGTCATGAAAAAGGTTACATAATCATGTAACAAAAAAAGAGACAAGAGAGAGAAAACCACACTAATAAAAAGTAACTGTACTTGCCAAAATATTTATGAAAAAAATTTTAAGACATGTTGGTAAAATTGTTATTTATGTGGCCAAAGTATCACAGATTGAAAAAAATGAAAACAATAAGAAAAAATGTCAATAAAACACGAATAAAGAGTGTACTCAAAAGAAATCTCAACATACAAAAGAGGAAGAAAACACCCTATAAAAATTTAAATTAGCTATTTGTATAGATCAGTCGAAGATTAAAAAGTCATTATATTAATGCTGGTACCACACTGTACATTGTTAAAAACTATTTTAGTGAAATTTATTCACAAAATACCTAGTTAATATTTATTGTCTGCCAGATACTAAGAAGTGTGTTTTTTAGGCCCAAGGTAATGGGACAAGTGTTTTTCTGTAAGGCTCCAGAGAAAAATTATCACCATTTGGGGTTTTCTCATCTGGACAAAATTCACCTCATTCCACTGACTTGGGACATAGTCTTGCTCTGAGTAGTGTGATGTAGGCAGATTGAGAGTATAGGAGTTCAACTTGAGGCTTTGAGAAGAGTCCTATGAGGGCTGGGCATGTGGCTGAGTGGTGGAGCACTTGCCTAGCAAGACTGAGGTCCTGGGTTCAATCACCAACAACTCCCCAGCTCCCATCAAAAAGTGTGCAGGGTTCTGCTTGCCCTAGTGTGCTTGAGACATCCCTCATAAAAGGAACATGGCTATGTATCTATTGTTCTAAATTTTAGGCTTAGCCCTTGAATATAAATAGAACTGCCTGAGGGGAACAATGCAGACAAGGTCAGGAGAAAGCATGAGGGTCAACAGAACTGTAATTCAATAGTAAGTCCTTGTAATAAGCCTCTAAAAGTTGGAAACATAACCCTGTATATGGTAAATGAAAAAAAAATCTAACCTTTGCCTACATGGAGATGTGGGATGGATATGTGCAGTAAACAAGTAATCACATAATTCTATAATACAAATTGTCATAATTGTTAGCTCAGAAAATTGGAAAATCATAGAGTATGAAGAAAGAAACGGGAGGAATTAATTTCAATTGAAGTTAGTTTTAATTGGAAGATAGGCAAAGGATAAGGAGAAAAGCAACTCAGGACCAAGGAAAAGAGGAAGCAAAAGAGAGGTGGAAGGGAGGGTGCTGGAGCTACAGGTGGAGTGCAAGGCAGATGGAGCCCATGGGGCGCAGAAGACAGGAGGGTGGCTCTCGAGGGGCCTGGAAGTCCATGGTGAGGACTTCGGGTCTCACAAGAAGCGCAAAGGGAGCTATGAGCTGAGCATTGATTTCATACCAAAATTTATATATATAAACCTATTAGTGTCATAGAGTAAATTCTGCCCTTGATACCTATCCACAAATGGACTTTCAATTTTGAAATCCCAAGCTGTGAGACTGAAAAACCCTTAACTACAGATATAGGAAACTTTGTGAAATCATGGGTTGAAACACTGTCTATATGATTTCTTTCATGGAAAAAACCACTATCTCTCATAGAAGCAAAGGGATATCTTTATTAAGTTTATTTTCAAATAAATGACATTTATGAAATATGCTTCAAATATTCAAATATTTATCACCTGCTATTTTATTGAATGGTTGCTTAACAGGAAAACTATTCAAAAGAAAATTTTTCTTTTAGAAGTGAAACAAAATTTTTTCTGTTTCTGATCATAGAAGAGTCTTCTTAAATCACAAGAAAAATACTATGAATTATTGTACTATCTAAAAATAAAGTGGAAGTAATATGTGGTATTGATGAGAGAGACAAAGGGAGAGTTAAGATGAAAGGCAAAGGTGGACTATTAGAGAAGAGGAAGAAAACAAAGGGAGAGGAGAGAAAGGCAAGGCAGGGTTGGGAGGGAAGTGAAAATGATCAAGGTATGTTATACACATTTATAGATTTGCCAAAATGAAACCCATTAACCTGTAAAAAGTAATATGTACCCATTAAAATAAAAGCTTACTGGATTGTTTTAGTAGACTAGTTAAGGAGCAGACTCCCCATTTGGCAGAGAAACAAGTCAGAAGAATGTGCTCACCATATGCCAGTGAAAGGAGTACCAGGCATGCTCCATTCTGTCTTTCCCTCATGGAGCACCTGCCACGTCTACATCTCTGGGGGTTCTGACCTGATGGGCTGGCATCTGGTCCTCAAGTCTCAGTCTCTGCACACCAGTTTACTGAGGGTATGTGAATATCCTCAAGATGATGATGATCAAGAGAATTTCCTGATATTCTTCTTGACCTCTGCCAAATATCCAATCTAGAATACCAGGTACATAAAGATATTTATCACAATGTTCATATTAAACTCTTACCCAAAAACTTTTTATCTGAAGTTCCCAGTTTCCATTGTTTTCTGCCTTAAGTTACCAAAGTTACTCTCTATCATCAGTATTCCTAACCTGTTATCATGAGTTTCTTTCAAGGAAAATACACCAATATTGATACTTGCCAATGATTATTTTCAATTTTGCTGAGAGCTTTTGGCTTATATTTTATAGGTGTCCATTTCTTGCCATGCATGGCTGGCCATTTCAATTGCTTTGGAATGATTCTCCTTTATCTATTTTTTCCTTTACTTGTGGTAAATTCACTCTAAATTGAATACTCCATGAAAATGAATTTTCTTTTCTTGATGCAGTTGAGGAAGGACATAAAAATGTTTTCAGGAGTTTTCTTTCTACTTTCTGATTATGGTTTTCTGATTACTACATAATGTTTTTCTTTGATCTTTAAGAACAATGATTATTGTAATAGTTGCCATTTTGTGTGTGTGTGTGTGTGTGGTACTGGAGATCGAACTCAGGACCTTGCGCTTGCCAGGCAGGCGTGGTGCCACTGAGCCAAATCCCCAGCCTGACACCCTTAACTCTTAAAGGAGGAGAGGTTCATTTAGCTCATGATTTCAGTCTATAGTTAGCTGCTTCCAAGGCAGAAACATCATGGGGTAAGTGTGCACTGGAGCAAGTTGCTTAGTTCGTGGTGGTGGTAATGCAGAGCAGGGGAAAAGCTTCAGAATGGAAGGCACTGAAATGGAAAGGAACTAAGGACAAAGCAGAGACTGACAGTCTCAACACTTGCCCCTCCTGTCTCAAGGCTCACTCTTTTGCTAAACTCATGAAAGTCACTATCCCCAAAAGATGAACTGCTGAAACAAAACCTGCCTGTACCTCCCTATCTCCCTATATGTTAAAGATATACTGTAAAAAAAGGTTAAAAAAAATAAGCAACATTACCTCCACCTCCCTACCATTAGCTAAGTTCTACTTCTACAAAATCCTTCTTGCTCACCCACCCTGACTTAAGAACAGATAAATATGAGAACAAACTTAAAAACGTAGCTCAGATTCTGGAAGATGACTTCCTCTGGGCCTGTTAGAGATAATAAACCTGCCTTTCCCTTCAATTCTGAGTGCTGCTCTCTTCCTTGGTCTATTGCCCCTCCGAGTGCCATTTCAGGAGCAGAGATGATGGTTAGTACCTAGGCCCCCAGATGGCTCCCAAGCTAATCAGGTTAACAGAGTTAAGGTTAACCATGACAATTATTTTATCTTCTTCAATTAGTTTAGCATGCATTTGGTTTCTGTTCAAGAGAAGTGTGTCAGTTTCTTATGGCTGTTATAACAAATTACCACAAAGTTAGCAGCACAAATCCATGATCTAATAGTCTGGTCAGTGTAAGTCTGAAATCAGTGTCACTGGGGTAGAATCAAGGAACCAATGAGCTTCATTTTCTCTACAGAACCCATGCAGAATCCAGTCTTTCTTTTTCACAGCTTTTAGCAAGCACACATATCATTCAGTTCATAGCTGCATCACTTAAAACTGTTTTCCTTGTATCATTTTCTTTTCTGAATCACTATCCTGCCTCACTCCTACAAGAACTCAGGTTGTTACTTTCGGCCAACAAATAATCTAGCATATTTTTGCCCATCTCAAAACACTTAAATTAATCATATCTACAAAGTTCTTTTTGCCATGAACTATGTTTTCATGTTATGGGGCTCAGGCTATGAGGGACCATTATTTAGCCTGCCATAGTTAGTTTTAGTCAACACATCAATCTCTTTTTTCAAAACGTCCAAGACATTTCTAATTTCTGATGCATTTGTTTTATGAGACTCAGTTTACCCCATTCATGTTGTCTTCATGACATCCTTGCCTCCCTGGGATAAATCTGACTTTGTCAGGGTGTATGATCTTCTTGACAATCCTTTGTATTCTGTTTGCCAGTATCTTGTTGAGGATTTTTGTTCATTAGGGATATTGGCTGGTCATTCTCTTTTTGGGGTGTGTCTTCCCCTGGTTTTGGGATCAAAGTAATACTTGCTTCCAGGAATGAATTTGGAAGCCTGGTTTCCCTTTCAATTTCCTTGATGAGTTTAAAGATTAATGGTGATAGTTCTTCTTTAAATGTCTTGGATCCCAGAGGAAGGGGTTTCCGGTCCATCATTCCACCATTCCTAGTCCAGAGGAAGAGACTTCCAGGCTGCCATTCCATGGCTTCCAGGACAGATGAAGGGGCTTCTGGGCTGCTGTTCCACCACTTCTAGCCCAGAAGAAGGGGATTTCAAGTCACCATTCCACTGCTTCCAGTGCAGAGGAAGGGGGTTCTGGTCCGCCATCCCACCATTCCCATCCCAGAAGAAGGGACTTCTGAGCTGCCATTCCACTGCTTCCAGGACAGAGTCAGGCGCTTCTGGGCTGCTGTTCCACCACTCCTAGCCCAGAGGAAGGGGCTTCCAAGCAGATGAGGTGAGCCTCACAGGTGCCAATAGCAACCTCATGCTCCGTCAAAAATAAGAAGACATGTAAACAAGCCTCAAAACCAGATTTCCAGATCACCTGCAGCAATCCCAAAGGGAAATTAAATAGAACACTCTGCTACTCAACCACCTGGACTCCCTGAACTGGCAAAAAAAAAGGAGCTGGAAAAAATGAAATCAGAAATAATTTCTCAGATAACAGCACAGATTATGCCCATAGTGCAAGAGATGATTAATAAATCTAGAGAGGACACAGATAAAAAAAATAGAGGATCTGAGGAACATGATGGAATCTCAACATAGGAAAGAAATGGAATCCATAAAACAGATGCAAACAGATTTCCAGGAGATTAAAAAACTCCATTGAAAGTCTACACAGCAGAATGAGCCAACATGAGGAGAGAATTTCAGATATAGAAGATAAGTTTGGAATTAGTGTCCAGGAAAAGAAAAATTGCTTAAAAACTATAAGAGACCATAAGAAACCAATTCAGCAGCTGCTAGATGATACAAAGAAGAATAACATAAGACTGATCGGAGTCAATGAAGAAACAGGAGAGAATGCAGATGAAGAAAAAAAACTGTTCACAGAAGTAATGGCAGAAAACTTCCCGAGCAGGGGAAAAGAACTTAACATAAAGATAAGTGAGGCATATAGGACTCCACATAGCCTTGATCAAGATAATCTACATATAGACATATACTTGTTAAGATTCCAGAAACCCCACAGAAGAGCAAAGTTCTACAAGCAGTTAGAGAAAAGAAACAAATCCCACACAAAGGAAAGCCCATCAGAATCACAGCAGACTTCTCAATGCAAACCCCCAATTCAAGAAGAGCTTGGAGTGAGGTATTACAAGCCCTAAAGGAAAACAGCCTCCAACCCAGATTGATGTACTCTGAAAAACTGTCTTTCAAAATTGATGGAGAAAGAAGATACTTTCATGATAAAGAGCACCTCAAGAATTTCATGAATACCAAACCAGCACTCCAAAAAATTTTAGATAATATCCTAGGTACAGAAAATGAGGATCACAACCCCAGGAAGCACAGCAGAATGAATGCATCAAGTGCAACAAGAAATTAAATGTAAAGGGGGAGAATCCAATAAAAATAAAAAGTCATGGCAATGATAAGTCAATACATATCAGTTATAACCATCAATGTTAATGGTTGCAATTCACCAATCAAAAGAAATAGACTGGCAGAATAGGTAAAGAAGCAAAATCCAGCAATATGCTGCATACAAGAAACATACTTAATTCAAAAAGAAACTCATAGATTGAAAGTGAAAGGATGGAAAACAATACTCCACATGACGGGAACCCCCCCCCAATAGGAGTAGATATCCTCTGTGCAGATCAAGTGGATTTCAAACCAACAAAGATGAAGAGAGAGACAAAGAAGATCAAATCAACACTCATTCAGAGAGACAAAGAAGAACACTACATCCTTGCAAAGGGAACAACCCAAAAGGAAGACATGACAATCATAAATATCTATGCGCCAAACACTAGTGCCCTCAACTATATAAAACAAATACTAATGGGCATGAAAAGTCATATTTGTACTAATACAATAGTAGTGGGGAACCTCAATAACCCACTGTCACAAATAGATAGATCGGCTAAACAAAGAATGAGCAATGAAATGCTAGAACTCAATTGAACTCTTGAATAAATGAACTTAACAGATGTTTACAGAGTGTTATAACCCACAAAATTAGAATACACATTCTTTACAGCTGCACACAGGTCATTCTTCAAAATATACCACATTCTCACTTATAGCACATGTTTAAATAAGTGCAAAGGAATTAAAGTTATCCCCTATATATTGTCAGACCATAGTGTGATGAAATTGGAGATAAATAGCAAAAGAAATCCCCAAAATTTCATAAACACATGGAATTTGAACAACACACTTCTGAATAAACAATGGATCACAGAGGAAATTAAAGAAGAAATCAGACAGTTCCTTCAATTAAATGACAGTGACAATACAACATATCACAATCTATGGGACACAATAAAAGCAGTCTTACTAGGGAAATTCATAGCAGTGAATATTCATATTAGGAAAACAGAGTGAGTCCAATTAAACAATCTGATGATGAACCTCAAGCTTGTAGAAAAAGAAGAGCAGGACAAACCCAAAGCTCATACAAGGGAGGAAATTGTAACGATCAGGGCAGAAATCAATGCAGTGGAGACTAAGAGAATGATACAAAAAATCAATG